AGAGATAAAATAAGAGGGTGTAACAATCGTTAAAACAAAAAAAAAAAGTGCCCCGTTCGGCTCGCATTCAAAGTGATCGAGATCGAAACGCCTGTTTGAAAATAAACAAAATAAATAAAAAACAAAAAGAAAAACACTAACTTCGAATCTCGACGTGGATCTGATTTTTTTCGCAGATCCTATTTTTGCATCTACGATTCCATAGTAAAACACGAGTACACGATCTTTTTCTTCCTTTTTTTTTTTTTGGAACGGGTGTTTTCGCGATTAAGTCTTATTATCTAATTCGGCACGTAACTATTTGATTAGGGAACGAGACTAAACGTTTAGACGATGACATAGATCTAATATATTGAAGGGGGATCATTGTTAATTGTATATTTTATAATGATTGATTAATCTAATATTTCAAATTGGTCGGATCTATCGTTGAAATAAGATATTATAACTTTATAAAATGTGTTCAACGTGTATAACGTTACGCGTAAGTATTTTTTTGTTTTAAATTTCGAAAAATATTAGAAATATTCTATTGTATATTCGAGTTTGAAATATCGGATACTTTGATCTAAGATTGAAAAAGATCTACAAACAAAGTCTCCATCTAAGAGAATATAAAATTGAAATTGCAAGACATTTTAAAAGTATCGAACTGATAACCGACGTTTCGATCAATCGATCGCTTTATATCTTATCGTAATAAGGTCTATTGTATTATAGCACGCCAATGTCTTCCGCCATTAGTCTCCAAGTATCGCATTTTACACTAATACGTAAAACTATAAAAAAGAAAAAGTTTCTTTCGCTCGTAAAAAAAAAAAAATGAACGTATACACAAAATGATGATAAATGAAATTTTCCTATCGAAGGAAAATCGATTTGTTGGGTAACGTTAATACGATTGAAAATGTTCCAAGAACTTTTTCTTTCATTGTAAATTGGATCTCTAAATTAATCAATGTAACTAAATTAGAATAAATCGTTAATTTTAATTGGAATTCAATGAATCGATTTGAAACTTTGTAGAAAACGAACATTCGTGATATTATCGATCATTCGAATAAAAGATATAAATTCAATCTATAATCGATTATCTTTGTAAGCTCGAACGACGAAAGAAATTTCATTGTATTTAAGCTTTTAAGAGAAACAGTTAGGCTTTTGAAATATAATTAGAAGAAAAGGCATTAGGTCTGCTCGAAAAAAAAAAGCTCGAATAGATCAGCCGAGACGTTTGAAGGATTTACCAGCGATTTTCCATTCTTAATCGACCGTTCTTTATACATACATAAATATAAATATAAATACATACGTACATATATTATATATATATATATGAAAGAAAATTATATAGAGAGATATATTATATTATACAGGATGAATAAATTACGATCGATGAAAATGCGCTAATGCAGTGCGGAAAAGTGTGCGAATATTATCAATTAATTGGCATTAGCGAATATATTCGATATTTATTCTCATTCTTTACAGTACTTTCCATCACAATTTTGTGCTGTCGTGTAATATTATGGGACGATATTTTTAATACTTATTTCGCATGCGAAAGTCCATTGTGATAGTACTGTGATCGAGTAAACGTGAGAATGTAATTTTTTTAAAAGACACGATGGAAAGTATTACGAAAAATAATTAGAAAACATATCGGTGTCGTTGAATAAATTTAAAAACGATTCGTAATTATGAACGAAGAAGTCTAGAAACAACAAAAATATAGAAGAAATATGTAATTGGTAATTATTTCACGTTTAATTTTAATAGACAAATTCTAATCGAGGGAAAAAACATCATCGATGATTAATTATCGCGATTTTCAACGCACTTTTAACCGATGATGTAATTTCTAACAGCCTGTATAAATGAAAATAATAAAAAATCGTAAACGAATGGTAAACGACGTTAAAGATCGATGCTCGTATTTGAGTTGGGAAAAAGAAAATAAAACGGGGAAGGAAAATGTTTGAAATAAGATAGTGCAAAGTGCAACCGTTCATCATCCATCGTGTCTCGTTATCGAAGATCGATCGATTATAATTATCCACGTATAGTTTTTATCGATCGTCCCTTATCGAAATGATAACGAAAACGACAATCCGTTTTCGAAATTTTCTCAATTGATAAATTTCGACTAATCGCAAAATGATTGTTAAAATATCTTATATAATTAAAATAATAATACATAAAGCTAATCAAATGATCAATGCCAAAACGGTCGATTTATTAACGAGAAGAAGAAGAAGAAAAAAAAACAAAAACAAAAATATAACAAAAAGAAAAATACGCGCGCGCGTGCTTTTAACGAGCAGCGAGTATAATTAGAATTTAACCGATTAGATGAGACGCGAGTTTTCAAGTGCCAAATCTTTATAGCTTATTTCAAAACGAATGCGCGAAATCGCATAGAAAACGTTAACTAGCCAAAACGCGAGAAGATAAGAAAAGAAGATTGTTCGAGAATTGTGTTGTTTCTACAGACGAAAAGACGAAAGGAAAACGCACGGCCGTTGTTTTTTGCTTTTTTGTCTTTTTTTCTTTTTTCATATAGAAAATAAAAATCGGAAATATTAATTGATATTTTTTGTTTTTTTTTTTTTTTTTTTTTATATCTTTCACGTTTATTAATTCAGTATTACGACTGAATAATATTTATTTCCACATTTTTCTGTCTACTGTCGTTTGTATTTTCCGTCTACTATATTTCATGCGCGATTAATAAAATCATCGATAATAATAATTAATAATTAGCGTCGTACTCGATCCGTTCATTTGTAGCGCGACCAAAAAAAGAACGGAATATTTTCTTGTCAGCCTCGAATTACTCTTTGCTCGCAATACGAAATTCCGTGTCAGTCCTCTTATTTCTTAAGATAAAACCGCGATCGGGAAAAGATTCTGGCCTCGATGAAGAAACATGTATACAAAAAAAAAAAAAAAAAAAAAATAAAAAATAAAAAAGAAAATAATTCGCGTAATAAAAAAGGATAACAATGGAACGAACGAAAGAACGAACGAACGAACGAACGAACGAACGAATGAACGTACGAAAGAACGAACGAACGAACGAACGAATAAACATGTCACAGCCATAAATTGAATTTAAAACGATTTTTACAAAAAAAAAAGACAGTTATTTGTAAATGAAAAGCGGTACTTAAAACGGTAAAAGAAGTTAAAAACAAAAAAAAAAAAGGGAAAAAAAGATATAAAAAAAAACACGAAGCAGACAAATTGTAATCATATTTTCAACAGGCAATTCTTGTTCCTTTCGTTTTTTGAACTATCACGCTAGCTCACACACACACACTACGTGCAAATTGTGGAAACTCCGTTATCCAGCGAAACGTAATCTGATCTATTTAAATAAGTGATATAAAAAAAATAATCGAATGTGTATTCACAAACGATAGAATCAAAGTTGAAATGTATAGTGGAAAAACATGATGTGACGAGTATGAAAAGAAGAAACGATAACGTGAGAATAATCGCAAAATTTAATGAAAACTAGAATGATTAAACGTGTACCATTAAACATAATCTATACATATTTAAACTATTGAATGCTAAAGGTCATATTCGTATAAACCAAAAAAAATTAATAATCAATTAACTGAATATTAAAGCTAGCCTGTAATCAATAGAGACGTAGTTAATACTTTGACAGTAATTATAGGGGCGATTCAAGGTAGATTTGTTAGAAGTTAGGGTCAACTTTATCGAAATCACTTTCTCTCTAAAGTAACGAAAAAAAAAAAAGAAAAAAAAAACCTAATTATCTTAAACTAACCTATGAATTTTAAAAGAAAGAAGTGCTGAAAAAATATACACCTACACTCTTACACATACATACACACACACACACACGCACACAACATAAATTGACATACACACACACGAAGACACGAGACTATTAAAGAGACCGATTATATATTGACACAATCTATCTCTTCTTATACCTAATAACATTATTCCCCTATATACTTTAAAGAAAAAGATCGTCTCCTATATTGTCCACCTTTACATCAATCGTCGAAGCGTTTACAAATGATGCCGCAAGTGTAATCATTTAATAATGAAAAAAAAAAAAAATGAAAAAAAAAAAAAAAAAAAACAGCAAATAATGATAAAAATAAACCAAATATCGGCGTATCCCGAGAATTCTAGTGGAGGAAGAACGCCAAAATTAGTTAGTTTCAAATGAATGAGAAAAGAAGGAAAAGATAACAAAAATACGAATGACTATTAACTACTACTACTATTACTACTACTACTACTACTACTACTAATACTATTACTACTACTACTACTACTACTACTACTACCACTACTACTATTACTACCATCACTACTTTTTTCCCGTTTGGACCCTGGTGGGATGATGCGATTGAACTGACTCACCCCGATCTCACTTGACTTTTAATTATGCCTCGACAATAGCCTGGTCTAACAATAGTAAATTCATATTAAGGAAGACAAACAAGAGTAATGAAAAACATTTGTTATATTTCTATACTGGGCTCTTTTTCGAGGCAGAAAAAAAACGTTGATCGATATGAGAATCCCTGTTAACTGGTGAGCACATAATCGCCGCATTGTAATATTATTACCATTATTACGTTATTATGAAATTGTTGAAATAAATGAAATGAAAATAAACGTCTTCCATTTCCTTCTTTTTTTAATTTCTTTCGGGTAACACACGATTCGACGTCTGTTCCAATTTTATTCAAAATATGAGATAGGCTATTAAAAAGTAATATTTAAATATATTCAAATATACGAATTTATAGAAGATTACAATAAAATTATATAATTTGAAATATATATATATATTTTATGAGTGAAATAACTTTGAAACGTTCGAAAAGATCGAAAGAAAAAAAAAAATTGTATACATATATTTATATATAAAAAAAAAAAAAAAATGATAAGATTCGATTAAATTGATGCGACTTTATTTTCTCGTAAAAAGAACTATCGGTTGGTTCCTTAATCGAATAACATCTTTATTAACTAACAAATTAATTTAATTTAGATACGGTCATAATATACATAATGCATAATAAAGTACAAATCTTCGGTTTAACAGTTTTCCCGCTTAGACGTAACGTAAACTAATATACATTCGATAATACGATCATCTTTTTCTCTATTAGATAAAAGAAATTCATTTTTGCGCAGGTATAAGTCAGGTTCATCTTATTACACATAGCACACTTTCATACTTTATCTTTCATTTAATTATTTACCTAACAACAAACACGTTTAAACCACTAGGAATTGTGCCAGTGTTCGTCAAACGTTCAAGATCTAACATACTCATAAATTCAACCAAACGAGGTACCTCCTTTTAAAAGAAAATTATTCCCGTTTTTGTTTTTTTTTTTTTATTTTAATTTGTTTCATATATATATATGTATATAATATCGTCGGCAGAAACTGGTTTCGATTAATTATTTTAAATGGAAAAAAAGAAAATGCATTTAAGAAGAACACACAAAATAAAAAGGACTCGTCTCCTTCGAGTATAAACATCGAAAGGAAGGAAAGAAAAATCGGCAGATAGCACAAACCCTAGTCAGTTTATATATCTGATGTCTACATTCTAATTATTGTATTTCTTTGAGGAAGACGCATGGCATACTATCCAAGATGAATCGAAGCTCTAACGATTAATCATTCTCGTATAACAAGTTCTTTACTTATCCTATTTAAATATAGGATATACATGATTTTATTGATAATCATTGAAATCTTTTTTCTTTTCTTTTCTTTTTTTTTTTCTTTTTGTTTTTATATATATAAAAAGAGCTTGTTAGAAATAATTCGATCGTTAAAGTATCGACGCGATATACGCTAATCGTAGGTAGGGAAGATTTTCGATAACTTCCGAAGATTTTCAAACGAATTCAATTCGTAATCCAATATAATAGTATCATATTATATATCCTATATGTGATTCACATGCCGAATAATTATTTTCATTATATTATAACCTCTGATTGATCGACAATAGAGACTGTATGGCATTTACAATGGGATTACACGAGGTATGGCTCGTTAATGGTTTTTATAAGCACAAAATTAACGATCACATTCGCTAATAATTTTTCGTTTCTGCGAATCAAACTAAACATTATCTATATTTACAAACGGTACTTTTATTTATTTATTTATTTATTTATTTTTCATCAACTCGACTCTTTTTCATTTATCTATAATCGATAACGATGGGATAAATCTCGAGGCACCAGAGAGGCTATAACAAATCCGATAAAATTAACGACTTGAACATTACTTTTTTCTTCAATCTTTCTTCCATTTTTTTTTTTCATTATTTCTTCCTTTCATTCTTTCTTTCTTTACGAGGGACAAATGTTCTATTAGAGAAAACATGACCGTTTAACAATCTTCTGTACAATATGGATGCAATTATTACGGTTTATATGTACGATTAGTAAATGTCTGTACGAATACGTACGATATTCTAACAACGAATAAAAGTACGCAGGGCCGTGGACATTGTGCTTCTAATGTGCGCGTTAATAAAGCTATTTAGTATGATCTCTCTCTTTCTTTCTCTCTCTCTCTCTCTCTCTCTCTCTCTCGATTAGGACAAACTCTCATAATCGATTAATAATACAATTAATCTCTCTCTTTTCCGTCATTCACGATTTTCTTTCTATTTTTATCAATAATCATGAAACTTATAAAAATCTAATTGTTTTTATTTCTTTTGGCTCGTCGCTTTTATAAAAATCAGTTTCCATCATACGAGAGTTTAAATTAATTGAATAACGTTCCCTCCATTTTTTTCTTTTCTTTCTTTCTTACGATCATTAAATCAAAACAATTAATTTCAACGTAAATACTTGTTGGACATATTTTAGTTAAACAATAGAAAATATATCGTTTAATGTTAAAAATTATGTTATATGAAATTTTGATAATATATTATATGTATAATACTTTAAAATCAAATATTTCGAGAGGATATCAGCAATGAGTTATTCCTTTCACGTGTCCTTTTTAATGATAAAAAACAGACACAATCGAAAAAAGTCATGAGGAAACGTCAAAAAACGTTGTTTGCTTGTTTTCTCTTCAATCGATTATTTCAAATTCGCGCGAAGAAACTTATGAAAGATCAGTAGCATTAAGGAAGACGATAACGGTAGAGGCAACTACGATAATTCTAACGATATTTTCTATATCTCGTTGAAAAGTTTCGTTCTTCATGACCGAACATATTGTATTTTACTTCTCAATCCATGATCAACGAATATCTAAGATGATAATCGTTAATAATTATTTATTTAAAATCTTCAAAATGTTTTAAAAGAAAGAAAAAAAGCAATACAGATTCTTAAGCCTCTATTCATTTCCTTGTATTATCGTTAGAATAATTAGTTTAAAGAAACAAGCTATCGTTCGATTGAAAAATCGCGAATATAATATTGCCGTTTCGTTTATAATAAGACTTTTCTTTTCTTTTTTGTTTTGTATCTCTGGGCAGTTACACAGGCTCTGTTATTTTTCTTTATTCGTAGAAAAAAAAAAAAGAAAAGAGAAAAGAAAACGAGAAAAAATTGTCGAATTAAATTGTTTGAACCTCGTCAAGAAAAAATAATCAATAATGATGATGATGATTCTGTGTTACGAGTTGGTATGGGTTATTTTACGCGAAAATTAAGCGAACGATCGTTAAATGATGATGAATATTCTTATGTTCCTAGAATAATAATTCGATGGAAAACATCTTCATTGGAAGTAAAAAATACGCGTTGTTGTAAATATAAAAAAAAAAATAAGAAAAGAATTTTCTTCTCTTAGTCGATGATTGTGTATCAGCGAACGAAAAAAAAAGATATATGACAGGATACATAATGCGATTATTTGCCGCGATATATTTCTATGATATGATCCTGGTCCACGTACTCGAAAATGTGAGGTGCGTCCATTAGGATCCCTATGGTACCAGCTGTGGTGACTATGAAGAAGGTGTAAAGCTGTAATCGATCTATCACCATCGCAACGTATTTCCAATCTTCTCTTGTCTAAAAGAAAAACAAAAAAAAAAAAGAGAAAAAAAGAGAGAAATATTTGAATATAATAAAATAGGATAAATCAGAAAATAAGAATAGAAGAAAAATAATGAACTCACTTGTATATAGAGATCTTCGTTTCTAAGATGTTCAGCTATAAATTCAACTGCCTCCGTAGCTTTGCTAGCTTCTGGACTGAGAAGAACAGAATCTGAACTTTCGGATCCTCTTCTATCGCCAAGAGCTTCACCAGCACCAGCTGCACTCGAACCACTCGTCGTATGATGAACCTTGCGATTAATCTTGCAATTAGGATGATGCAAATCGGATAACTCCATCACTTCCATCTTACTCTTAGCCAAGGAAGATGGCAGATGCTTTGGTAGTTCCGTAGGGCTGCCGGAATAGGTCGAGGCTGGCAATGTTACACTTGGATTTTCCATCATCCATCTGAGACGGGTTTTTTTCGGTCGTCGCATGAAAAGAAACTTAGGCAGATACTTGAGAAATACTTTTCGTATCATTTGCGGCATCCTGTGAGTACGTGGACCACGGAAATTCCAATTTATTATGATCACGGTCACCAGGATACTGACGGTATTCATGATGAAAGTAAATAGAAGATATTTGGCAATCAACGGCAGTACCAAAGACGTGGGTGGTAAGATTTTACTAACAAGTAAAAGAAACACGACCAACGATAAGAGAATACTTATACCGAGTGTCACCTTTTCACCTGCCTCTGCAGGCAAATAGAATACCAAAACGCAAAGGAATGAAATCAAGACGGTAGGCAGGATCAAATTCACCGTGTAGAAAAGGGTCTTTCGTCGTATTATTATGTAGAACGTGATATCCGTTTCGGTTGGTAATTCGCTGGGATAGACATTTAAGTAAGCTGGCACACTGATTATATCCCAGGTACCGCTTTTCCAGTAATCCGAGAGGTCGACGAAACTTTTGTCGTTATAAAGGGCTAAGGATACCTGATCGCCATTGAATGTCCATGATCCAAACTTCATAATACATGTTTGTTGATCGAATGGGAAATAGGTGACGTCGATTGTGCAAGAACTTTGATAAATTGCTGGTGGTACCCAAAGTACCTCACCATTTGGATATATCAAAACGTTACTTTTGTAACGTACTTCGTAATTACCATCGGCACTGAAATTAACATCATTTATAATATATATATATATATATATGTATCGAAACTGTATGTAGATATATTTAGACGTACTTGTTGAACAATACTATATCCGGCTTCCATACTTTGTCAGGCGGTAACCTAAGTACTCCAATACCACCGTAATCCGCTTCATCCCATTGTAATTGATAATCCATCCATACGAATCTCAACCATACATTGGACTTCATGATTTGATTTTTCTCGTTCTAAAGATAATATTTGAACAATTTGTTAGGCGAATGTTTGATCAAGAAATTTCAATACTTACCAATTTGGATCCTTTAAAAAAAAATTCGAGCGAAAAGAAAAGAAAAGGAAAGAAAAAAAAGGAAAATAAAATTGTTTTATTTAAAAAAAAAAAACTAATCAGAGACTCACCACGTTGATGAGCTGTACGAAGGCGAGTCCAAATTTGACGTGTACCTTTTCCGTCATATTTTGCACCGGTCTGATAAGCTTGTTATAGCCTCTAAAAAGATCTCGCACCAATCTTTCCTCATCTTCGGAGCAGAGACCTACGAAAGGGTTAGACGATTCATGTGTGAAAAATTCGAGGGAAGAAAAAAAGGCATATGTAAAGAAATATAAGTAGTATCCAATTAATCGTGAATCATTGAGTTTCGTCGCGCTTACCGATGCAGAGTATCGACGATATTAGGATGAATCGTGAAAATCTCAAAAAAATATACATTTTTGGGCGGCGTTGTCGAGGTCCCACCCGTAAACTCGTGCGCTTAACGTCAGACCGGGACACAGATCAATATGAGAGCGCAGACGCTAGCCAATAAGTGCATTTCCTTTCTTGCCGTCTCTGTTGACGTTCGAACATTTCGCTAAGATCTCGTCTGAATGATCACAACAGATTTCTACCGTTGATTTCGATCTTCACGAATTCGAGAATGCGGGAAGGGATGACGGTGGAGGAGGTGGTGGTAGTGGTGGTGGTGGTGGTGTCTGAAGAGGATGACCTAATGATACTGGAAAAGGTGAAAGTAGAAATAGATGACAAATAAAAAGAGATAGAAGAAGAGGTGAAAGAGGAAAATGCGTTGATCACGTATAACGCACGCATCGAAAAACTTTAGTGCAGAAGTGAGATGAACGTTCGTAACTTGGACTGACCTCTCCCTACGATTCGCACCCCACCGTGGTAATCGAAGGGTGCAAGGCTGGTAACCTTCGTACATGGATGCGGGTGATCTCGCAAGCTAGCGCGCTGATACGTCCCTCTGTCGGTGCTGTTTTATCGAACAATTCTGGACAAGTTTTATAAGCGTTGGTAGTATCTTTCTAGATTGGCGACTCTTTCTCTCTCTTATACTTTCTATAATATATATAGATTAAATATTATAATATGTAACTATTGCATTTATATTTTTATTTTTTTCCAGTTAAATTAGTTTACAATGTGGCTATCTTTTACCACAAATTACATTATTTATCCATTTCGTTGATTTTTATTAATCGATGTATCCTTCTTTTTCCTTATTCAGAAAGATGTTCTGAAAATGTATATTTTGAAATAAATATAGATACAAATCTATCTTCAATGGCAAACTGAAAGATTTGAGAGAAAGTAAAAATGTTCATTCAATTAGAAATCGAAAGAAGTATTAAATCATTTGAAATTTTTTTCTTTTCTTAAGATTTTCTTAAGATTTTCATCACATGAACCAAGTCGTTAAGTAACGGATATAACTTTCCTTGGACAAGTTATTTGATCGTACGAGTGTCCCTGAAACTTCACCTTTCGGCAGAGTCCACCCTTCCAACTAATTACCGTGAAATTTCCTTCGTTCCATGTTTCGTGTAGACCTTTAACCTATGCAGTTTGAAACTTGCTTACACACTGGAAGCTGCAACAAACTTGTAATTATGAGATATTTCGAAACGCTTCCTCTAACTTTACTACAACGTATCCGTACCTGACTATACCCTGATTGCATAACGATATACATATTATTACAAATAATTAAATATCTATCACGATACTTCGATATCAATTATTTTTATTTCAATCATCGATATTATACACCTTGTGGTGGTTACCATTGAGGCGTTATTTTTACGAACGATCGAACGTTCGAATTAAATCAGGATTATTAATTAATTTATCATCATTAAAAATCTATACGATACATCAAACACATCTAATATTTTCGTAAAGTTATATATATATATATATATATATATTGTACATATATATATATATGAACAATTCCATTTTTGTTAATAATCTTATCTTTTGACTTTTCCTTTTATAGGTTCCAGTTTCTTCTCAACTAACACCTTCTTACACTTATTCAATACTACCAGAAAGGTCGAGTCTTTTTATCGTGTCTTTGGAGTGAACACAGCACACAATTTTTTTCACTTTTATTTTTCCAGACGAGCTACCTGTCCATGTTACTAATCGTTTTCATGTTGCTTGACTTTAGTGATGGACCAAGAACTAGCAATCCAACGCGATTAGACCGTTAATTATATATTTTTATTAATATATAATAATATAATATAACAGTTCAAAAAAAGAAATAAATTAACCGATACGTAAGAATATTCATTAATCTTCAAATTGATCATAGCTTGACGTTTTAAACGAAGAATTTATTCTCGTCCTAACAAATTAAAATTTTTTAAAGGCCTCGATAGTTATTCGAAATTCGTACATTTCCATTAGATAAAAGGAACAAATTTAAGGGATCTATTAGGGGTGGAATAAAATCTGAGTAAAAAAAATTTAAAAAAAAAAAAATACAAAAAAGAAAAAGATAAGTAGGACGATTGGGGCCATTAAAAAAAAATATCAAACTAAACGTTTACTTTCGATCGAAGTCGTACTTACGACCTAAAACTGTTATCTTTCACGGCATTCATAGAATTTTTCCTAAATTGAATTTTAAATTTACTGTCATTTACATTTCTATTAGCTCGTTACTCATGCATTACTTTTTTATCGGAATACTAGCACCAACTAAACGATTGTGCAACGCCTTTGGCAATCTCTTCGATTGAATTTTCCCTGGAACAATGGATATCATCGAAAGCGAATCCGTCATTATTTGAACGTGCCATTGTTTCATTAAAATCTCCTACCTTCTTCGAGGATCGTATTATTAAAAGAAGAATATCGTGTCGTTGAAAGATCAAAGGTTTAGAGATCGAAAGTTAGGTGATATATCTGTTTCTCTCTCACTCTCTCTCTCTCTTTCATTATAAATAATTAAATACTTTGGTAAAATTTAATTCATTACGAAATAATAAAAGAACTTAAAGAGTTTTTCTATACGGATGAGAAAGTTTACTTATGGTTATAATATTTATCATTAAATCGTCACGATTAAAATTATGCCGATCCGTGTAAAATGGTAAAACATCGAAACAAGTTTCGTCCTGTGTTAGCAGCCAAAATTATGTCAAACAATCAATTTGCGGTATGCGACCACAAAGCTATAATGCGACATATGTGTCGTTGAATATTACGGCACAAACATGCGTCGTTGTATAATCAAAACGACGATGACAGAATGCCGGTGTGACAACGTGATCTATGTATGCCATGTAAATGCGAGTTCATATTTTCAATAAAAAAAAAAAAAAAAAAAAAAGTCAATAAGATTAAAAGTGGAAAAAGGAGAGAAAGGAAGAGTTATTTATACGATGCGTCGTTATGTTGAAACCAGTGTATGATTTGCAAATAANGAGAGAAAGGAAGAGTTATTTATACGATGCGTCGTTATGTTGAAACCAGTGTATGATTTGCAAATAATTGTCTATTGTTTATTTGACGATTCATTATTTTCCTTTTAACGATATATCGTATTATCCATAAAATTAACTATATAAATAACGAGTAATGCATGTGTATTTCTCGATCGATGAAGTAAATAATACATAAATCGACATAGAAATGCTGGGCACTTCAAATAGATTATTTGAAAGGAGTAGCATGTTATTTCGTTGATAAATGATCGTATGAACGGTTATGCTAATTATGATTCGACGGTAATAACCGTGCAATTCTCACAAAATTGCAGAGATAATCGATCATTCCTGGTAACCACATCAAACCAAGTTTCGAACAAAGTGAACTATTCGTTAATTCATTTTTTGTAATAAATTGAGCAATTAGAAAATTATTGAAAATTTAGAAAAATTCGAATTCGACTACATTGAAATTATTTCAGTCACAAATTCGATCCCTAATTTCGATGAAATGTTTATTCATAGAATATGTGCATGCCAATGTTTCGAGTTAGATAAATAGTGCGTTTCACGAGTAATATAGTTTCGCTTATCTCCTTCCACAGTTCCCATTTGGCTTCGTTACAAGATGCTTGTGTATGAACCCTGTTAGGGACGTTTGCTGACCGAGACACTATCATGTCTCTGCTTTTACCCTTTTAATAATTATTTATTTCATTATTTTTCGTATTTTCAAAATACAATTTATATTTCATTAGAATTATTCTAACAATAATATTATTAGAAAGAAAAATTTTTTCTAGCAATTTATTTAATCAAAATCCTCTATAGAATTAAGCATATTATTAGTAATTAATTAAAGGAATGGTAATTGCAAGAATCGAAAGAGGAACAATTAAACTAATGCTATTGAATATGTTATACAATTGCGAAGAGATGCTTTCTAATATTACTCCATACTAATACATTTGCGAGCTAATAGTATAGTATTCCCGAAACTCTCTTTGAATCTCCAATATAACTCTTCAATCAGTTTGCATTGGTATTAATCATTACCATTTGAATTTGATTTCGTAAAATATATTAAACATCGTTCAATAAATTCAAACGCGTCCCAACGATTTGAAATCAATTAGAATAAGTTTCGATAATACGTAAAAATGTTTCATTTCTTAATTCATCAATTTTATTTCTATTCCAAATATACTTTTTTCTTTTTTATATGAATCGGGACTCTTGATAGGGAATAAAAAAAAGAATAAAAAAATATATTCGTCGATCGAAATAACAGTCGATTAACGAGAATTCTCGTTAGTTTCGAACGAGAGCTTTGGCATCGGAGTTTTCTAGTTGTCCAGTATTTCTTGCAGATGACTAGCGAATACATACCATCGACCAACGACTAATCGTTAGAGTTGTCAACTTGAAACTTTGTTTAATCCGGACAGTGCATTTGGACATCTGAACACTCAACCGTACTCCATTCTCGCACTACTAATCATTAGAACGTCAATTACTACAAACGGAACTTTATAAGGGAAATTTAAGTTCCCTTTGATTCTTTATCATTCTCACAATCATTATTTTTTTAACAGACAGTTATAAATTTCAAGGATACTTGAAAGTAGTACCAAAAAAGATATAAAAAAAAAAGGGAGAAATAGTTCCTGGATTATCCGAAATACAAATAAACTGACGTTTCAGAATAATCTGGCTAGTATATATCGTTGCATCACATCCTGTTAACGAAGTAAAACGTCACGCGTCACATGCTATCTGGAAGTAGTTTTTTTTTCTTTTTTTTTTTTTTTTTTTTTTTTTTTTTCACCAAGTAAAGTTTAAGAAATATCTACAGTTTATTTTGTCTCGTTTGAACACATGATGCATATAAGATAAAATTAGAAGGATTGTATATGTACTTACGATTATAAGAAACATAGTTGTTATCATTTCTCTAGTATTAACAATGACTTAAAATATTATCATATATTTTAGTTTGTTTATGGGAAGAATATGCAAGAAAATTGTTTATCCGATGATCACGCGATATCGTTAAAGAAAAGAAGAAAAAAGCGATAAGATCTTGTAACAAGTTGAATCGACGATGGAAAAAAAAAAGAGATTGTGTATAATCGTAGGAAATAGGAAGGAGATAGGTTGATAGTATGTATAAAAGAACGTGTGGAGTTTCGTTTAGTATGAAAATAAATCACACTTATAAAAGCGTTAGATTTAAGAGAGCGGCAAGTTTAGTTGGTGTTTTTCAGAGAAGCTAACCATCAAGCAAGCAACGGTAGTACTTTGAAGATTTACCGGCTGCAATAAAGAACGTTGGGTAAGGTCGAACTCCGGAACAGCTTCGAGAGCTTACATCGCGATTTTTAGCTTGAAAGATTCGAAAAGGAGGTAGAAGCTACGGATATCTGATATCCACTTGTTATAACGTACGACCGATAGCAAAGATATCCCTGAGGTTAAGGTCCCTCGTAATGTGAATTTCGATTAC